TTTATTCCGTAACTGAAGTCTGAAGGAGCCTGGGATTGCACAGATTTTCAGAGTCTGGGCACAGAGTTTACCCACAGCAACAGAGAGGTTCTGCATGCAAAACCAGCTCATGTTCTAACTCGGATACAGCAGCTTGATGCTGTGCTGGAGAGGTTCCCCCTTGCTGGGAGGTGAAATCATCCTGGTTAACTACATAGTTTCTGATCTGAGCTGTCTGCATCCGGGTGGCTCAGCAAGCTTGCCCCTCAATGACTGTGAAAGACCACGTGGGCATCCTCTGCTACCTAGGACAAGAAGGCTTTGACTGTCCATCTGTATAACAGAAATAAATTGTCCTCTTATGTTTTGGAGGTCTTGTAAGGATTGCCACATTGAACAGTTTTATATACTCAATTACTATGGTAATATAAATATGATTGATAAATGTAATATTTATTATAGTGGCAAAATTGCATTTAAATGCTGTCAAGCCTCACTGAGCTGCAGGTATTGAAAATTCAGAGTTTTACTTTTGATTTTGTAGTTGGCTGAGAATCAGTTGTCTCTAAAACCTGAGGGACTCCAGCCGTGGTAGGAGTGCTGCAACTTCATCCTCCTGTCACTGACATGACTGTTTATGCTCACATTCATATACAGTACAACTCAGGTTATGCTTTTGTATGAATCCTGAAGGATTTGGCAGGGACGAAAAGGATGGTAAATTGTTAGATAAAAGTTTTCCATCAAGACATCTCACATCTCAGTCCCCATCCCCATCATGTGTTTTTTTCTGGCCAGCACCATCATTCTGCTCCTTTACGTAGAGGAAGCTGGCAACAAATAAGCATTAGTCAGACATTTCTAGTAGGGCTTTTACTTAATCTTTGTTCGGAGCAGCTTTGTCACAGTTCTCTATGCTCATGCAGGGAGTCCCTATTAAGCTTACCACAAGTGTGGGGTCAAAAAAGAGAAGAAGCTTTGTGCAAACTGTGTAGGTGGGGAGAGCCACTGATGAAAGTGGCTATTTGAACTCAAAGGTGCTTATTTCCTTTGGAGAAGAAGAATAATAGAGGCACATGAAAAAAAACCAAACAAACCAGAAATTGCTGAAGAACGCTGTATAAGCATATCCTCCACAGTCTCCTACATCAGGTGGTTGTATTGGGAAGGTGAGCACACATTGCTTTCACTGGAGAAGAAAGGCAACATAAAACACATATAAATTAGCAACCAGCTGAAGCTGAAAGTTAACTTTTACAGAAAAAGGAAGATATATTCCTTTGCTCCACATGAAGATAAACTTACAAACCTGAAGAGAACTAGTCTTCTATCTAAACTGCTTGAGTCCTGGTAAATCGAAAGTTATGACAGTGGTAGTGTTATTCTAGCAATGCAGTATTGTAAGATATACTCTCCACATTTTCTTCTGTTAATGGATTTTCCACACAATGTATACACTTTCTGGCAAAAAAATACAGATGTAATTTTAAGTTAAGCTGAAATAAATGTCATTTTCTTCCTATAGAATTTTAGTTATTCTAGTCAATAAAATAATTGTGATTTTTTTAAGGCACTTTGTATATTTTGATTGTAGCATTCTCAGAGCAAGAAGGGGAAGAAAAATCTGCTTTTTTCATGAAGCATGTATCGGTAGTGTTCCCTGTTAATTTTCATTGAGAAGTGGAGAGAGAGGTCTGTTGATAAGAAAAAGAGCCTTCAATGGCTCTTGGAAATTAGAAAGTACATCCCAAGTGTGCCTAGTAATCTTTGGGAGTCACACTCAGTCAGTAATACTTGTCTGCATTCAGTTCACACAGTTTACTGAAGAGGGTCACTTTAATTTCAGTATCCCTAGAGAACCTCTAAAATCTCATCTAAAGTTCATCATTCCTTAGGCTCCATGTGCTTCACAATATTCAACAATTGTGTATCCTATAAATCAGTAAGTCTTGATGTGAATTGAAAAGCCCTGGCTGGAGTGTTTAAGAGAGCCGGCTGTGGTTTTTTGGCTTTCATCCCTGTTTCCAGATGGTAACGCGCATTTAAAGACATTGCATACATTTCCACCCAAAACATAAGCAAATAAACAAAACCTGTGCTAAAAATGTTCCAGCATTTACAAAATCAAGGATGAGAAGAAACGTGAGAAGGCAGGGTCACTTTGACACCAATCCACAGAATATGGAAAACTGAAATTAGAGCTTTAAACACTCTTTGCCCCACTTCTCTGAATTTCTTATGCATGAGTGTTTAAATTTGTTTGCAGGCTTCATAAGGACCTGCAGTACCTCTCACTGCTGTCCATAATGGATGTATTTTTTTGTTGGGTCGACCCTAGCCTTTTCACAGCAGCAGTGCAACAGTAGCTCTCAATCAACTTCAGCCAAAAATACATAGAATCATAGAATAGTTAGGGTTGGAAAGGACATTAAGATCATCTAGTTCCAAATTCCTGCCATGGGCAGGGACACCTCGCACTAAGCCATGTTGCCCAAGACTCTGTCCAACCTGGCCTTGAACTTGGCCTTGGCATCTGTATCTTCACTTTGTTCCCAGTGGATGATTACTGAAAGGGTCTTGTTGCCAGCCCCATGACATCATGTCCTCCATGAAGGATTGAAAGCCTCTTCCCATCTCCCCAGCCTGACAAGGCACTCCACTCTTTGGCTGATACCTGAGTCCACCTCTGTGCTTCTTTTGCCCAGATTTTTGCTTCACCTACACAATACCAGCCCAGTTTAGCTTTAAGCATCAGATGCACCCAGGACTTCTTTCCCACTAAGCTGATACAGCCTATTAGCAGCTTTTCCTGGGGCAGTTCCTTGCCAGTCTGATATTACTTATGTATTAAAGGCTGCTCTGTATTCTGTCCTGCAGCCATACTCAGAGCAATCTCAGGGCAGGTCTGGGCAGGTTAAGCACACATATTTGTAGAACCAATTTCTTTCACAATACCTCACTTTCGGAAATTTGGGCTAATCTGCAGCATACACTTACAAAATTTTTCTTCCTGGAATCTTTATACAGAAATATCCTCCCATTTTATATGGTTTAGCTTTTGTTTATGATGCTGAACAGAAATTTCCATAATGGCATTGATATATCACTGTCTACAAGTCATTACCATGACTGAGTTATTTATGTCCCTAAAATATTTACGTATTCAATTTCAACCACAAACTATTTATCAAACAAAAGCAATCACTGTGAAACAAAGTCAGCCTTTTGCTTGTAAAGAATGATCCAAATATAAGCACTCTCTTCCTTCTGACTACACACTAATCTTCTATGAAATAAAAGTCTGTCCCTTCTTCCAGGCCAGGAGCAGCAAAATGATTTCAAACGGCATTTTTGAATCATTCTGTAGAAAATTGTTCTTTTGAAAAATCCTGGTCAACATATTTAGTGTCATATGCATATTTCATATCATGATGGATCAGTATGAAATGTACATAACAGCAGAATGAGAAATACAGTATGAAAATGGCAGTAGTCATTTATTTGATAACAATCTTTCTTTCAAATGGCAGTATTAGCTATTACTTTACATGCAAAACACATTCTATTTCACTGGCCAAGTTGATGGTTTCTTATTTTTACAAAGGGATGAAAAGTTCACCAAGAGCTTTGCAAAGGACTAGAGAATAAGACTGAATACAATGGAGCAGAGCCCAGCTTTTCTCTGGCTGAATAGTTTGCCGTCAACCTACACATCCTAAACCAAACTAGGCCCTGCAGGCTGATTTTACTACTAATAATTTCAACATGGTTTGCTTGGACCACTGCATCCGTTATTTGAGTTGTTATATACACATTTCTCTGCAGAGACACTCCCAGAAAATAGAGACCTCCCAAGTCCATCCCTCTGTGCTATGGTGAGACCATCCATATCTAAACTATTCCCCACACGCTTTACCTTACCAGCTCTCAAAAATCTCAGTAATAGGAGTCCCATCTACTATAACACCAATAACAACACACTTATTATTAACAGCAGTGTTAAACGTTGCATTTCTAGCAAGTGCTGTTGTCATGTTGATAGATGCCAAGCACATAATACTTTTAAAATCACTTTAAACTTAGGTGCATTATTTTAGACTTATTTCAAAGCAATCTTGACTCATAAATGCTCACTTAACAATTGCTGGTATTTCAGAGTATCTTTCTGGCAACTAAGTTTGATCCCCCAACTGCATCTACCTGCATCAGGCTCTACTAAAACTAACACATATCCCTTTATGAAAAGAATGCAAGGTACCTGAGTCTCTAGAAAAATCACAGTAATTGAGAATATTAAACATGCAAACAGTTCTGCACTGTACAGTTCATGGTCACATCAATCTCCGAGTTGTTTATCCACATAAAATAACCCTTTTACTGATTTGCATATGAGAGGCGTATACATTTCTGGATTTTATTGTCATCATCTGTTTACTTGCAACCAGGAAACATAAAAGAGCTAAATTCAATGAATAAATTATTTGCTGTCAACAGTCCACCAAGCACTCATTTCTGTTAAAATTAGAATACCGTTGGTTAGCTTCAAAGGAATTCTTTTCGTCTACTTCTTTTTAATGGACCAAACTTCTAGAATAAATCAACTGAAAGAAACAAAAAAGGCCATAGAGGTATTTATTCTGCCGTGTCTTGGGTGAAGCAATATGTGTCAGCCTAAAAGAAGCCGTGGTTGGGGATGCTCCTTTGCCAGGCCCTGCTTTGAGCCATCCGCTCCTCTCTGCAGACCGCTCCTAAACTGCACAACAGCACCAGTGAAGCTCAGGTTCTCCCATACTGACATTTCATGCAACACAAAGTTGAAAACAAAGCAGCTTTTTGCTGTGAACAACTGACATCAGTCCCTGGAGAGCTTCAGAAAGCAGCAGATAAAAAGAAACGAAGAAGGCAACAGGCTTTGAAATCCTGGAAGCTGCTGCTGCCACTGCCTCATAAAGACAGGATGATGTGTGTTTGTGGTGGGAAGTCACGGGTTATGATGTGGAGCTAGAAAAAATCCTACCTCTAATGATACATGTGTATTCCAGCTCTGTATAAGCATGACATGCTCTATAGACATAGCTCCTAAGAAATAGATTGTACCTTCCACCACGCCAAGAAGACGGTGAAATGAGTTACGATTTTTGTCCAAGATGTCCTTAGAAAGGCAGGAATCCAGCAGGCAGCAGTGGATGAGGTATGGGACCCAGCAACAAGAAATAACACCTTTGCCAATTGCAGCAGCAACACCGATGTCCCTACCAGATTCAAAAAGCCACATCCATCTTAGGGCTTGGCTACTTAAGCTAGACTGTGCTAGTTAGTTTTTAAGACACAGCCACATAGTCATAGTCAAGTAAGTTTTAATTAAAACCTAAATATATTAATGGATCATTTAATTGCTCTTCATCCCCTGCAGTGCACATGCAGTTGAGATGTGTAACTATTTCAGGGCTGTTTTAGCTGGGCTGTCTTTGTACAGAAGTAGGTGAGTTAAAAATACATGACCTACCATGTGGCTTTGCCTTGAGATAGTTACCTTCAGAATGTAGTAGCTAATGACAGTTTTCCTTAAGCTGCTCACACCGGTTCTGTAGGGACCTGAATTCACATATGGACTGGGGACATCTGAAAGTTTACATTATGGGCATGCTGCTTGTTAATGATTTTTTTCCCTAAATTTGGCTGGAAAAGGAAGATTTGGTAAGCTACACAGGAAAGAGTCCAGGACAGGCAATTTGGAGTCATGCCATGCAATGCAGACACATTATGCTGTTCTGATTAGCAACACCGAAAATCCAGAGGTCTTAATCAGACTCCTTGGCTCTGAGTGATTAATAGATACTGCTAACAAAGAGTTGAGTTTTACAATACCCAGAGCAGGTCCCGTTTCTCTTGCAGTAACATGTTTTTAATACAGGGATTCCTACTTTGTTCTAAATCTACTTTTCAGGAACTGAAAACCATGCATTCTTTCTCAAGCTCACAAAGCAATTTTGTTTGTTCTGTAAAACAGCAAAGGATAAAGCAGGCTTATCTGTAAACAATTTTTTTCTTTTATCAGTTCCACATGTTTCAGAGATTGCTTGTCACAATATCAGAAAAGCTCCACTTAAAAAAAAGGAAAAAGGAGCCTGACTCACATATTGGACTGCTGAGATAACACTGCAGAATTGGGCTCAGGGGGAAAAAAGACAAGGTAATGTATCAGAAGCGCAGTGTGCTGGGGCTGCAGCTGCTATTATTTTGTGGTCCTACAATACCTTATAATTAAAAAACAGCTGCCACAAATCCAACCAGAGTGTAATACTGGAGAAGAAAAGCATGCTAGCAGTGCATCCCAGATGCTGTGAGAATTGACTCTGTTCAATTCATCAACTGTTAAAATCAAACTGTCAGTATAGTTCTCTAAAGTATACATGTGAATATATATGTGAATATGAAATGCTTTTAACAGTTAGTCAGAGCAGAAACACTGACTCAGCCCCAGCTCAGCTCTTTTGCCAACCCATTTGGTGCTCTCCATGCAAGCGAATGGATCCACACAGCACAAGCCAAGCCTGTCCCTGCAGATGATGCTGTGGAGGAACTCTTCATTAGGGACTGTAGTGATGGGTTAAAACTTAAACAGGGGATGTTTAGATTGGATATAAGGAAGAAGTTCTTTCCTGTTAGGGTGGCAAGGCACTGGAATGGGTTGCCCAGGGAAACTGTGAATGCTCCATCCCTGGTGGTGTTCAAGGCCAGGTTGGACAGAGCCTTGGGTGACATGGTTTACTGTGAGGTGTCCCTGCCCATGGCAGGGGTTGGAACTGGATGATCTTGAGGTCCTTTCCAACCCTAACTATTCTATGATTCTATGACAGTGGCTCAGATGGCAGAAGTAGGGCAAGTATGCCCTAAATGCAATTAATTAGCTGGGTTGGTAAAGCTAATGTGTGCTGCTTGCAGTGCCAGACAGCTGGTTTTCCTGATTTCTCATATACCTGTCAAACGTGCCCTTCACCAAGACCCAAAACACATGGTCTAGTTGTACATTACAGACACAGTTGTAGTCTGTTACCTCTGTCACAAAGACAGCATGACAATCCACTACAGCAAAGTTTGTTCAAGAAGCAAAGTTGTCTGGTTTTAATTAGGAGCAGTAAATTACAGATGATTAGAACGATGGCTCTACTAAGCTTTAATGGAAACGAATTTACATGTGTTTCTAACATTTTCAATACAACTATCAAAGTTGTTTAAGAGTACCATGAAACATTTTGCAAACATTAATGGGACGGTATCTTCCTTTTAGTATTATTTTTGTCTTGTGGATTTTCCAGGTAACATTAAAGTTACTTCTCACTTTCTGTTGCATGTTGAGGTAACATATCACCTCTTGTTGGGATAATTTTCTCCAAAAAAAAAAAAAGGAATAAATTATTATTTCAAAAAATTATCTAAAATTATTAATTCACAGTATTTCATGTTGACACTTTAATGGAATTATGATGAAAGGGGAAATAAAATTTCATCCCTTCAAGGCTAATCACAATAAAGGGAAGCAATCACCTTAGTTTACACATTTATGGAATTAATTGTCTTATACTCAATTAGAAAATAATTTTTAAGCATTGAATTAAAAAGTAGAATAAGTTTAAACTGTTACACAGTAGCATTATAAAAAGATATAATACTTTATCATCTAGTACATTTATATTGGAAAATACTGAGGTACTGACATTTAGAGACCTGAAACTGAAGCAAGTATATTCCCATCCTCATAAATTCTTGCTGAATTTAGATTTCAGCATGGTTCAGTAGGTTCAAAAGCAATAAATCAGCCCTAGAAAAAAATGGAAGACTGTTTTAAAAGAAGAGACTATTTGAGCACACTTCTTGCTCTTCAGATTGCTTTCTGACTTAAACTTTTATGGTGCAGTTCACCTGAGTGGACTACAGAGACTGCAGTTTAGCCCTTGACATTCTACAGCCCCTTCACAATGAAGGAGCAAAACAACCATCAAGGGGAAAACACATCCTGCCATGGAAACCTCCAGTGCTGGTGGCTGATGAGCAACCCTGGGTATGGCAGGAGCATCTATGAGCTAAACAAAGTAAAATGCAGAGAGAAAAGGATTCTGGTTCAAACCCTCCCAGTGCTTGCTTCAAGATGCTGAACAAAAAGAGCTGTTCTTCCAACCATTCACAGAGACACACTGGTACCAAACTGTCCTACCAAATTCCCACTAGTTTTCAAATTTTGCCATGCAGAGGTTTGAGCATTTTGTACTGAATCTGTTTTTTCTCTCTCTCTCTTCTTCCCAGCTTTTAATCTCTGCTTCTTATTTCAGCTGAAGGATCTGGATGCCTGCCCTGGAGCTCACCTGGGTGAAAAGGTCACACCCCCCTTCAGCAGTTGCTGCTCACCACCACCTCCCTGTGAAAAACTGCCACCCTTTCAAATTGACTGCTGCAAACTCTTCAGCCAATGGCTCCCTCACCCGATTCAGTTAAATCCATCAAGTTCAGTTAAAACATGTTAATATTTACTTAAGCAAAGTGCTCATCCAGGCCAGGCAGCTGTCAAACCCAGCCCCTCTCACTGCTCTCACCCTACCTTCCAACTAGAGACCAGCACCTCCTCATGACTGCACTTTATCTGCTGTTTGGTTTGGTTTTAAATACCAGTCAGTTCAGAGTTTGGGGCATGCAGTACAGCTAAAGAAAGAAACTGTCCCAAATGGAAATGAGGGGAGGAGGATGACTTCTGGCCAAGGGTTGGAACCAGCATCCTCATAGGCAAGGGTGGGTGGCATCTGGAGCTACTTCACCTGGACCTGCCACTGCTTCAGTAGAGTTGCAGTACACCTTCTATCTCAGATTGCTGTAAGGCAGCCTTGCTGTGGGTCAGCATTAGGGTAACAGGCTTTTTGATACCCTGAATTACCTGAACACAGCCCCCTCAAGAAGCAATTTGAAAGGTTTTATTGTTGCTTCCATAGAAGCAACATTTTCTTTCTCTCTTGTTCATTCAACACAATAGTAACTGCATTTTAATGATCACAGAACTCAGACTTCAGAGCAAGCAGCTGCTTTTAAGATGAATTTGCATATGTATATTTTTAACAGAACAGTCACCTTCCTTCTTAAATTATTGAAGGGCTCTTGGATGAACCTGTCAATATGACATTTTGCTGAGAAAAGAAAGAGAAAACCATAACAGCTAATAATCATGATGAAGGACCTGATATAACATCGTTGCCCACGAAATACCCTATTGCCACTGCTAGTAACAGGCCACAGACAACACACTAGCTTTTCAAGGTCACAGGAGTGAGGCTTGCCAGGCTTTGCCCAAGCTTGGCTTGATCTGCCTTGAGCTTAGTTTTAGTTTGTTTAACTGTAACAGCATTTTTCCCTAATGACTAGGTGGCTAATTGCTAACTTGTTTGAATAATCTACTTGTATATTCATTGAGTATAACTGTACTTTTTATACGGCTAAGAGTAACAAGCAGGTATCTGGTGCAGACTGAAATATTCGTGACCCCAACAGGATGATGCTGTGTAGAGGAATGTGGCATGGTGTGATCAGGGTGGGACCCAGCATGGGGTGCAGTGCAGTACAGGTAGGAGATGACAATGGAGCAGGCACAGGCCAGCACTGGATGGACATTGTAGGCTATGAACTACCCACAGTGGGCTGTTGAAGAAAGGAAGGATTCGGAGCTGTAAAAAACAGGTTCCATCTATAACAAAGCAAGCAAAAGGGAGGTATCCAACACTGCATGCAATACAAGGATATTGACATGTAACACAAAATTACAGCCAGTGAAGACAGAAAAAAGGGTGAATCATGGTAGAAGATCTATAAAGATGTTCTTAATGATAGTCCCATGTAGGCTCTGGAGTGAGGCAGAACATATCGTCAACATCATGTTACTGTTGGCAAAGCAGAGGAAGAAACCTCTCCCACCAGTGTCCCACTGTCCCCAGAAAGGACCTGGGATGTGATAACTCAGCACACAGACACCATCTTCTGGGGCTGAATTCATCAACCTTGCACTCAGAGAGTGGACTGGAGCAAGTGTAACAGCAGAGATGGGGTAGAGGTTGTAAACAGTCACTATAACAATTTCACCTGTATTATTAATTAGACTTTAATACTATTCATCTGTCTATTTCTCACTCAACCTGTATCAATCAGATCTGGGCTAGTAATTAATAACTGTTCAGTTAGACTGTTCAGATTTCAAGTACACTAGCAATAAATTCTTTCCATATAAGGCTTTTTTATCTCTTCACGCATTAACACTGAAGATGCGGTGACTATTTATAAGACAGCCAGGTCAACAGTGCAACAGCTATTTCTGTCTATATGATAACTGGTATGTTGAAAGGGTAAAGAAGGAAAGAACTATAGTTATTAAGCAATCCCAGAGAAAAGGGATTCAGGCAAAGGAAGTAATTTTCTCCCTGGAGTTCAATGACAAAATAAGATAGCTCTAAATCTTTAGACATGAAACCTATTTAAGAAGAGTTATAACTTTGTACTTTTCCCTGGTTACATTTTATTTAGTGAGATGTGTTTTTAGGTTTGTATTTTGCATGTTTGCAGTCTGATCTGATATTGCACTTGCATTACAAAACCCAACACAACCAAAGGCAGTGTCCAGCAGCTGTCCTCACACTACTGCCCAACATCCTGTTCAGTCTGGGTTACATTCTCTGTATGTTACAGACCCACTTTTAGCATCTCCACTTCTAACAGCAACCCCTCAATATTGTCAGTCTGGGCTATACTTATTTAGCTGCTTGCCCCAGAAAAGAGGAATCAGACTGAAATCTTTAGGTTTCCTTGCAATTTAATCCAACTTACCAATGGGGTATGCTTTTCTAATTAGAGCATCAATTTTAACAGGCAAATACGATTCTCTGTGCTACACTGTAAAACAGCTTTAATAAATAGGAAACACTTAGCTGTGTGATCCACATTTCTGGGCATGACAGCCAAGAGAGAATTGCTCTCATACTTGCCATACCATTCCTGAGCTATTTGTTATTGCTAACTTCTGTAATGCTTTTTTCTTCTGCTGAAACCATGATATGGCAGAGCAAAAAATAAGCTGTGCTGCCAGCACTGAGCAGGCAGAACACACACACACACCAAAAAAACATCCTGAGAAAAGATAAATCACATTTCCTTTAGGGAGTTGAAAATTTCAGTAGAGAAACAGATAAAGGAAAAACAAACTAACAAACATTTACATCAAACTTTACATGTGGCTCTGTTACAAAGACTGCTCAGACCTGAAGTCTTGATGTAGCATCAAAACCTGCACTTGCATTTAGAGATCCCACAAATGCAGCCCTTCTTTTTGACTGGTTGGTTTTGCTTCCAGGCATTCCAGAGATTTCCTTCTCCTGAATCAGTAAAGACCAACTCAGAATCACTAAAAAGAGCAGCTAGAAAAGTGCGACAAGAGCTGAAAGCATAATAAATCACACTGCTAAGCCAAGGGGAAAATGCTTGCATCCTCTTGCAAGCAGTGACAAAGATGAAAACACAATACTCTCAGAAAAGGAGGCTTTGTCCATCCCTGCTTTGCCACTGGTCACTTTGCTTCTCTGCTGCTGGAAAGATGCATCTCTGATATGTAAACGGGGAATTTTTAAGCTTGTAAAACAAATTGGTGCTACAGCCCTCGCTGCTGGTGTAATAAAAGAATAAGGAAAAAAAAAAAGGCAATTCCAGAGAAACCAGCTAATTCTGTAAAAATGCAAGGAAATGTCCCCTTTGTTATAGTCAAATGTCAGCCTGATGTGTGACTGAAAAAGTCAAGACTAACAGTGCTTTTTGCCAAGCCACAAAAATGACTGAAATTGTGTTTTGTATCTAGTGTCTCCACAGACATTTAGTTTTATAAAAAATGAGAAATTAGGATAAAAGCTATAGTTCTGTACTCATCCAATGCCAAGTAAAATATTTTGTTAGCATGTCTATGGAGTAAGGTTCTGTTTAATGTAAATAAATTCATCAAAATTTGGCTGTTGCCAATAGCAGCAGCAACACATGAACGGGAAGCTCGGACTCCCTGATGTTTTACCAAGTCACTTTGCTGCTGCACTAGAATGAATTCTAATTAACACAGGTGTGACTGAGGAGAAAACTAGGCCTCATCCGTAGCGTTGATCTAAACATATTGCTGGTGCTTAACATATAAGTGTAGTTAAGAGAAATGAATTTTCTTCCTCTATACAACTGCTCTTACTAAATACATCCTTCTAAATGTCAGGCTCCCTGATGAAGTAAACACAGTGTGAGTCATAAGCTTCTTTAAATGCAATGTCACTAACTGAAAAAAAAATGGAAATTACTTTTAATTTTCTCCTTGATGATACTGAAGAGTGCCTATCTGCAAGATGACCAAGTCTGACACCCAAGGCAGAAGCACAGATGCAGTTTCTTATTGTCTGTAAATCATCACCCATTCAGTATTTCTTATTCTAGTACCTTGCCTTAGCTTTTTCCTTCTCAGAATTCAATAAATCATATCATGAGATTTAATCATAGCCTTCTGTATGAGTTATGAAATAATCATTGTCTGCTACATTATTTCTCCTTGATAACTTTGTTGCATAGTGAAACCCCAATGTCCTTTGCATCAAATAGGTAATTCTTTATTAACAGAGAAACAACAGCAGCAGCCCATAATAATCCCTTTCATTATGCTTCAACACCCCGCAAAGTCCTTGGTGTTTCTTGTATTGTGAGACTTAGACACAGAAGATGGAGACCTCTCATGAGATTGCCAAGAGAAGAAGAAAGGAGAGGGGGAGAGGCAGAAAAGGAAACATTTATTACTGGAGATTAAGCCTGAAATTCAGTACATGAAATAGAAAAATTATTCCCTTCCTGGGACCAATTACTAGAGCTGACCCAAAGCACAGAGGCCTCCATATTTGAACAGGAAAACCAGATTACCCCAGTGTTGCTTGCTCACCTTTATCTTCTTTCATGACGAAGAGCAATTTCAGAGCTTGCTCCTCTCCCTGGCTGGAGTCTCGTAATCTCCAAGACATCCTGGACTCCTCAAAACAATGCAGGTTAAGTGGAGATGTTTGAGTACAAGTACACTGCAAGCAGGCCTCCTGAAGACAATAAATAGAGGGGAAGCTCTAGTACTTAGTGGGTCATTCATGGCACATGCAGTCCCTCTAACGGGCAGTGGCAGGACCTGAGCAGCCGCAAAACTTTGGACTCAAGTTCTGCATGGATGCCCATGTATCATCCTGGATAAATATACTAACTGGTAAGGACAAAGCATTACTCAGTGCATCTATTGGGATGTTGCTAAAAAATGACAGGAAAAACAAGAACAGACCACTAAATCTTATTTACAAACTCTCCTAGAATTCATCTCAATTTTCAAGCCATTTACAACTTTGCTAATGTCCTATCTGTCTCTCCAGCTCTGATTCTGGTATGTTTTGGCCCCACTTCTGTGCCTTTATGTTCGTCTTGTTCCTTTAATGGCTTATTGTTGCTGTTGCCATTTTTTCCTGTCAGCCTCCCAATATTCTGTGTATTTTGACCATTTGCCATTGAATAGCTATGTTCTGTGCAAGTCAAGAAATTTATAACAAGAGTTTTCTGAAAAGTACTTGAGTATGTTTCCCCAGAGGTACCCAGGAAGCCCAAACTGTACACAGTCCTTTTGTTCTGAAGTAAAGGATGGGAAGCTTGAAATATCAAAAGACTGTTAAAGGAAACATCAAAAATAGTTGGTTCATACAAATAGTCCTCGGTTGCGGATGGACAGGACAACTGAATGGATTATCTTCCTTCTCCATTACATCTCTCAATGAAGCACAAAATTTACTTTTTGGTCTGAATTTCCCTCTAGCACCACCACCTTAAAATTGTTTTCTGTGACTGGAACTCCATTACCTGTAACTGAACCCTGATTTATCCATGGAAGAGGAGCAACCATGGAAGAGATGAAATGGTATCTAGTTTTAGCAGAAGTCTTTGCCATTGATCTCATTTTGTGGTGACATCTCAAGCCAGTTGCAGTTACCCCTTGCATGCCATCATGGGTTAAAATACTTTGATGTTTGGTAATAAAAGACATAACTTACACAAGTGCCCTTTCAAAAATCTATTTGCTAAATTGCTTTGAAATGTTTTCCTTTCAAACTGAAAAGCCTTGAAAGAACTGGATGCCTCCTTATTTCACAGCTCCCATGAGACAGATGGAGAATCAAATAAAAAGTGACCACAGCGCACAGCATCATTAAACTCCAATGCTTGTATATTTCAAACTACATTTTCTGTAAGTTTTGTTGCAGAAATTAATATTTGCAAACTGAATTTTCATGGCCATGCTACTTTTACATCAAATTTGCTGGAGCAGCATCTTATATGTGTATACTTTAACTCTGAAAACAGATGGGGCTTCAGTTATGCTGAAAAAGGAGCCAGTAGTTTT